TGACTCTTCAGGATGTTTTGTGCGTGGGCATGCCCAAGCACTTATGTAAGGACATATGCATTATTATTTTATTGTAAGTGGTTCTTCTTTTATTTCTCTTCTACTTCATGGTTAGTATTTTACTGTTATTACTACTATTTTAGGTTGTTTGTGGATATAGTAGAATCAATGACCTCTATTTAGGAATGGTAAAGAGGGCATTCCAAATGATTTGTTATAAAAGAAATCATTAAATCTGAAAGATCCAGACCCTGGCCCAGTATATACTTAAACTGGGAATCTAAATCATTTCCCTTGAGATGACAGACCGTATATGTAGCCTCAAGGTCAGGAGCCAGAGTTTGGAAGCCAAAAAGACCCAGATTTAAAACAAAGCTCCACAGCTTACTAGCTAAATGACCTGGGAGTAATTTGTATAATCTTGCAGATGTTTAACTTCCTCATCTGAAAAATGGAGATTCAATAGCCACCTTGAAGGGTTGCAGCAAGAGTTAAATGAGGTCAACTGTAGAAAACACAAATTAAGTGCTCAATAATAACTGAAGCTGCTATCATCACTATTATCACCACTTACTACTACCACCATCACCTCATCATCATCATCATCATTATTTCTCCAAGGAATCCTTCCCAGCTGGGACTCTAAGACCTAACAAGGACTTTGTGTCACATCCCAAGCTCCAGTGTGCTTCAGCCTCCTTTCTCTCCAGACACTGAAAACAAAGGGTTCCTGATCCAAAGGAACCATGACTAAGATGATTCCATATTGGAGTCTGATCTGAATCAGGTCCCACTCTTTGTGGAATGTTGCTCTGGGATGGGGGGCAGCCTACTGCCTAGTAGCTCCCCCAGTTTCCACAGTGGCTTAGACTACTTCCCCATCTTTCCCACTTACTCCTGAGGCCAATTGAGAGCAGCCTCCCAGGGTCTGGTTCTGGTCTCTGGGCCCTTTAGCTCAGCCAAATTCCTGTGCATGAAGCATACCCCAGCCTCCAGAGCACTGGAGACTAAAGTCATTTTCCAAGATTAAGCATTCATGAACTGCCATCTAGCTCAAATAAGCCAGACTTTAAAGATCATGGCATATGAGCTTTGGAGTGGATATGGGGAGCTTATCATCACTTCTTCGTGGTCAACCCTGCCCTTTTGCCATAGAAGTGGTTTACTTCCAGGATGAGAAGCCCCACAATGTATTAGTTCCTTCCCCTAGGTGTCTATACTCCAGGATCTCAGAGAGGTCTTGAGTCATGTACTGGCAACCTGGGGAAGCTCTGATCCTCCCCCCACTCCCACCACCACCAAGGCTATGGGAACTGGCAGAGCTGGCAGAGTTGAGACAAACCATGTCTTCCTGTTTCAGAAGACCCAGAGCTCGCTCTTCACTCCTCCTCTCACAGGTTGAGACCTCAGAAGTCCCTAGAGGATGATGAATGTAATCTGGTCTTTATCAATCCTGGCTGGGGTTCCTGAGATAACATGTAATGTCTACACTGAAAAAGTTCACAGTCTAGCCGGGGAGATAGTCATGTTACAGGCAGCCATGGTCCACTGTGGTATGTCTTGAATGGGTGGTTTCCACCAGGGCTACTACCTCGTGTGGAAATGGTCAATTAATGCTCTCTGGGCAAGATGTATAAGCTTCTGAGAGAAGTGAACACAGGAATGGGGTACTGAAGGATGAGTCCTTTTTCCAGGGCAAAGCTAAACCCCAAGGCCCACTTCTACCTCCTAGCCCTATGATTCTGGAATGGTTACCTCATGCCTTTCTTTCTGAGTGCCTGTCTTAGGGGAAGATGAAATAGGAGGAACTGCAATGAGATACAACTCTTTACATCAAAGGATTCATGTTTGGACTAAAACCTGACCCAGAGATAATGGCTTCCTAGGGTGTTTCCAAGACACAAAATCAGTATTTCCCAAAGCAAGTCTCACAGAGCATGAATTCCTTAGAATCTCCTGGCTATTATATGAAAAAGGTGACTCCAAAAGATCAAATAGATTTCAGAAATACCAGATTAAGGAAAATCAAGCAGATTTTACTGCAGGACTTCTTTCAGAGTCTTTAAAGGTAAAATAAATGATTTATATATTGTAAATAAAGTTTTATGGATAATAGCAATATTAAAATATAATAATAATTTAACAACTACCCTTTATTTATAACATGCCAAATATGAGCTATGTAATATTTCATGAATTCATAATAACTTGACATCATCAATGCTGCCATTATTCCCACTGTACAGAAAAAAAGACTAAGTCAACTCAAAGTGAGTTCATCATCCAAGAGCACACGGTAAATGGTAAGGTGAGCTTCAAAGTCAGTTTCTACTAAACAAAAGTCACTACCCTTTCCTGGATATAGGAAGTTTCAGTCCCTGATCGATTGGCCTTGGTGCTTTGGACTGAGGCATTATACCAAGGTGGAGAAGTGCACCGTAGGGCAACAACACTGATCTCATGGCTGGGAAGTAAAGGAGAGAAAGGGGAGGAGACTGGGGCTCCATAATCCCCTTGAGAGGGGAAGGCTCCAATGACCTCAAGACCTCCCACTAGGCTCCAGCTCTTAAAGGTCCCACCAACTCCCAACAGCAAGCTGAAGACCAAGCCTTTAACACAGTCCTCCCTGTTCTCTACTCTTGAGTCCAGAGTCCCTCAGAAGATTCTTCTGCACATAACCCGGGGGGCTTGGGTGAGCATTAGGAGGGATTCCCAAGTCAAGCTGAAATTGCTGCCAGTAACTCCTAATCTGTCTGGATCAAAATAGATGCCTTTATCTGTCACATATGGCCCAGAAAGGTTTCCAAATTCTATTCTCAGTCAGCTGTAAGTTGCTGCTTCAAAGGCAGCAGCTGCTTAAGCCTCCAGCAGATGAGATCAATTAGGAATTCAGAATCCTTGAAGCCACGGCCCACTTAGTAGACAAAGCTTGGCCCAAGAGTTGATACAATGTGACCAAATAGGGCCACTGCCTGGACCCAGGCCTCATTTTTCTCACATGGGCTCCTGCACCAGCCTCCACAATAAAGTCTGCAGACCCTTCTTGTCCCCACTTCATTACTGGCAGAGTGCCCTTTCAAAAGGCAATATTCAACCTGTCACTCCTCCTCAGAATGCTTCCATGGCTCCCTACTGTCCTTAGCAAAAGCGCAAATCACTTGACCTGGTATTCTATGTCCTTGGAGATGGAGGAGACCGTGTCATCATTTTCTCTTTAAGAGAATACACAAATGAATAAATGAAGACTGTGAAGCAACTGACTCACAGGTCTGGGTGCCCTGTCCTTGGAGACAAGCCACCTCACAGGAGGAGCCGAAAAGTACCTGCCCAAGTAACTTTCTCTAGAGATTGTTTTTAACACGAGTCAGGAACGGTTTCCTCTTATGAAATGAGTAAGTTGTGCTTCAATCTCACTTGATTCTGCTTCCAGTGAGGCAAAAGAGAGATGAACTGACCAAGGACACCTGGCAGGGGGCCTTAAAAAGGGGACTTAGACATCTTTTAAAGCAGTTCCAGAGCAGAGCTGGGGAAGTCCCTTCCTTGTCCTGAACAGGAGTCTTGGGCTGCTTGAAAAGCAAAAGTCCGCCTCTGCCAGGGCCTGGAAACAGAGCAGGTGATGGCTGGTGGCAACTTGGTGTGGTACTAGCTAGTCCTGTGCCCTTCATGTGCATGGGTGTTCCCTGGGGAGCTTGTCGAAATGCTGACTCTGATTCTGGGGTGGAGCCTGAGATTCTGCATTTCTTTCTTTCTTTCAATACCATTTATTTGTTTGTTTGTTTGTTTTTATATGGTGCTGAGGATCGAACCCAGTGCCTCATACATACTAGGCAAGTGCTCCATCACTGAGCTACAACCCCAGCCCTAAGATTCTGCATTTCTAACAAGCTCCAGAGTCACAATGGTGCCTGTGGGGCCACTCTTTGATGAGGAAAGTTCCAAGACTCTCTGACCACCCTCTTCTGTCTCTCGATGTACCAGTACAATAAATACTAGAGAGTCAACTTACAAAGTGACAAGGTTCTTTGCCTCACAGTTTGGAGGTTTAGCCCATGACCTGTTGGGCCTGTGCTTTGGACTTGTGGTGAGACAGCACATTGTGCGTGGAGAAGCATGCAGCAGAACAGAGCACTTCATGGGAGTGAAGAGAGAGAGGGAGGGGCACGCCCCCTGTGACCTAAGACCCATCACTAGGCCCTACCTCTTGAAGTTTCCACAACCTCCAAGAGCAGCACAGGCTGGGGACCAAGCCTTCAATACATGGGCCTTTGGGAGACACTTATTGAAAACACAGCATCTTTCACTCATTGCAAAGAAGAGATCCTAGGTTAGAAGGAATCTGGGAAGTAGGCTATCCTAGCACTGAACAGGACACTAACAATAGGACCCTGATCACCTCTCTAGGCTTGTTCTTGTTCCGCTGCCCTTAACCTTGACTTTCAGCTCTGGCAAATCCCAACACTTAAGGCCTCCTGGACATACCAGGCTATTTCAGACCACCATGCTCTGCCTGGAGGTACCTTCTGCCTAGAAAGCCCTTCTCACCTACTCAACCGAGCAGTTCTACTCAGCTTTGAAACTCTCCAGGCAAACCACCCCCTCCAGGGAATGTTCCCAGGTTCCTCAGGTTGGGATAAGTGCCCTCCAACTTCTGTGCATCCAAAGCCCTGTGTTCATCTTGACCACATACATCTTACGTGACTTTGTATTTCTCTGTCTGCCTCCCCCACCAGGCTGCAAGTTCAAAGGTCAGATGATTCTTTGTTACTCATCTCCCCAGCACCCAGCGTGGGCTCTGGCACATAGTAGGTACAAATAAACACTTGATAAACTGATCCGAAACTTTCAAGGAAGAAAGCATTTGCAAGATTCATTTCATCTCAAAAAGAAATTATTTAATTTTATAAACAAAGCATATCCTAAGAGTTTTTTCCTGCTTCCTTCCTTGCTCCTGAGTTTAGAGGGTATGAAATGACAGTAATAACAATACCACTTGTACGTACTTCTCTGGATCCATGGGGCAGGTCCTGCAATCAACCCTTTTAACAGGCAAGAACACTGAGATTCAGAAGGGTCGTTAATCCATAGGTCAGGTTTCCAACTCAGCTCCGAAGAACTCGGTGTCAAAAAAGGATCTTGTACTGAAAGACACTGGATGACGGGGACCAGGTAATCTCAAACAAGCTCTTTTTGTTTGCAAGACAGTGAACAACTCACTTTGCCATCGATTCAGAGGAGCAGCTGGAAGGATCATCAGCTTTGACTTGATAGAGATGGGATAAGGAGTGTTTCACAGGGAAATGGCTGCAATGCCTCTCACAGATGCAGAAATAATGGTAGATGGACAAGTATTTTCAGCATGAGTCACATCCCTGTTCCAGCCTGCCCGGGCCTCAGGGAGCCTGAGATATGGCTGCACCTGGCCCTGCAGGTTGTGCTCAGTACTCTTTACTAATTGTACAGTCAAAGGTAGTAGCTCATCCCAGCTGGCCTTTGTCTCCTCTATCACTTTGTCCTCCCATATCCACTTTGTTCTTCTGAGCCATCATTTGTTACAATGAGCTGGCTAAGGTGAGCCAGAGGGTGAGCAAGGGAAGGACATCCCCTTCCCACCCCCACTCTGGCCCCTCCTATTTCCCCCATCTCTTGGTTTCCATGACAGCGTCTGGCAATGAGACATCTACTTCAAAATGCTGGCAGGGATGCCATGCAGGAGCCAGACACACAGGCCAGGGGACAGGAGAGGGGAGCTCTTATCTGCACAGTGTCCACTATATGTGGGTCCTGCCTAAGACTTCACATACATTTCCTCCTAACTCCTCACCTGAAGCAGGTAAGGAGCCCATTATTACCCCATTTTACAGATAAGAAAACCAAGACACAGAGAGAGGAAGGGACAAGGCCAGGTCATTCAGCCAGTCAGTGGCAGACCCAACATCAAACTCAGATTTCTGTGGGTCCCAACCCCAGGTCTTGAATCACTACACCATTCTGCCTCTTGGCTGGGGCTCAGCCCATTGGCCTGCTCTGCCACTTGTTGCAGGCCCTGAGGTGAACTCCTTCACCTCCAAGATGCTGCAAAACAGAGATGGGCACTCCCATTGCTCAGAGGGGCTGTATGGACTTAAATAAGTGGGAGAAAGTCCCCAGCTCCTGGTTGAACACAGTAAAGGAGTAGCTTCTCCATTTCCAACTAAAAAGACTCCACTTCCAGGGTTGCTGGTCACAACAGAGTCAGGGATAGCCAAATCCACTGAGAGAACTCCAACTGAGGTGTTTCCTCTATCCTGAAACACCCACATCCCCTGTGTTCCTAAACAATAACAGCTTCCACCTACTGAGACTAGGGCCTGTCATGCCCACAATGACCCCAGGAGAAAGATACCATTATTGTCTTCTGGTTAAGGATCAAAAAATCCATTGTGGTACCTGGGATAAGCACTGCAGGAGCAGAAGGACTGCATTGCTTGTGTCCACCTGGGGACTTGAGGGAAGTGCACAAGAGAGACATCCATTATGCTCAGGTCATCTGCAAGCTATACCTGGGGGCTATTCACTGCTCTCTGGTCCAGGCCATAGCCACCGAGGCTTGGAGGTCAGCACTAGTCTCTTATGGAGTCCCTCACCACCACCACCCAGCAGCCAAGATGGTGCTTTTCACCCCACACCCAATTGTGTTGCTAGAAGCTCAAACCTCAGCAGTGGCCTCCAGGAAAAAGCCAAGTCCTCACAATGGTCAAGAAAAGAGGGAGGGAGGGGCAGGGTCCTACTATCCCCTTCAAGGGCACACCCCAGTAACCTAAGATCCCTCACTAGACCCTACCTCTTGAGGTTCCACAACCTCCAACAGCACCACAGGCTGGGGACAAAGCCGTCAATACATGGGCCTCCCATGCCTGGCTGGTGACCTGTCTGACACCATCCCTTATACTAGACCTTACACATTTTGTTCAGTTACTCGGGGCTCCTCACTATTTCTAGAATATTCCAACCTATTTCTAGCCCAGGGTCTTGCTGTTCCATCTCCACAGAATGTTCTTCCCTCAGGAGCATACCTCAGTTCGTCACTTGATTCAAATGTGAACTCCTCCCATCCTATGTAAAGGGACCCCCCACACACACCATCTGCTTATTATTATTATATATTTTTTTTTGAGACAGGGTTCTCACTAAGTTGCTAAGGCTGGCCTGGAACTCATGATCCTCCTGCCTCCCTCTACCTCCCTAGTTGCCGGGATTACAGGAATGCATACCACACCTGGCTTGTCACAAATCTTGAACACTGCATTTTACAGTCATTGTCAATTCATTTCTCGAACATTCTTCTGTTAGAATGTAAGCCCTAGTCAGACAGGATCTACCCCTCTTGTTCATTCCTGTATCTCAGAATAGTCTCTGGCATCACCTGAGCCAATAAAATGTGATCTTTTGATAAGCTGAGACTGACTCATCAGCACAGGTACCTGGACCAGCCATGGGCTAAAGACAGTCATGGGTGCGCTATCTGTGGGGTGACCCAGGAAAAATTTCTGGCCAAGCAGAAATTGCTGAATGAAATAGATTCCATCATGGAAGGCTAAATTTAACATACAGAAAGCAGAGGCTGACAAGAACCAGGAGCAGAAATCAAAACCCAGGAAGCTGCAGAAGTTCACAAGACCACAGAACCATGAACAACAGATGTCATCACCAGCAGAAGCCAAAGGACAACAGACATCATGGGCCAGCAGAGAGAAAGGACTATGGATGCCATGGGCCTGCAGAAGCCAGGGAACAGCCAATGTTATGGACCTTTAGAAGCCAGAGACAGTAGATGTCACAGGCAAGCAGAAGCCAGCAGCTCAGAATGAGGTTCCACTAGGGTTGGAATATTGTCTGCTCCTCCTGCCGCATTTCCCAAGTACCTAGAGTCACAGCTGGGGCAAACAATGTGCTCAGTAAAAAGTTGTTGAATGCACGAAAGGTGGATAAGGAGAAGTAAGAGCAAGGTGGTGTGAGCAAGAAGAAGAATAGTTGGGCAGTGAGGACAGTCACCTCCACTGTCCTGCATTAGAGAGGAAGGCAGAGGACTGCTATGGAAGAGGGGACAGGATAATAGGTCTCTAGTAGCAGCCTGGTTCGAAATGGCCTTCCAGCTCCCCATGGGGCCTGGCAATATAGTGGTGACACTATGTTCTGTCTTGCTTACATCCCTATATTCAGCAGTAGGCCACATTAGCAGAGTCTAAACCAGGCCTGCTTCTGAGCTCTGCAATCCTAATAACCTCCTCGTAGGAAAGCCTTCCTGGAAGAGGCATCATGAGAGGGGAGACCTGGAGGGGCATTTCTACCTGTCCCTTCTCAACATTATTGAGATACAAGTCATATGCCATTTTATGTGCCCGTTTTATTATATATATTATCATAAAAATTATATTAACCCCCAAATCACTAAGTTTAAGTGAGCACTGCAATAGGAACACAGAATTCACACTGACAGAGAAAGTGGGAAGGTCTGTGGGCAGCAAGGACACAGTGATGGGGAGGAAGCCTGAACCATGTGTGGGAAAGCGCTGGCTGGCCAGTGTGGACAGATAAATGAAAGAGCCAGCTATAAAGAGCCTGTGGCCTTGGTTTAAAGACTTGATAAGCCTCAAAAGGAAACCAGAACGGGTAGCCTTAGAGATCAGAGGAATTGGTTTCAGAGCCAGCTCTGCCACCAACAGAAGGTGTGGCCCTGGGCAAGTCCCTTCCTTCTTGGGGGCCAAGTTCCTCCTCTGAAGGACAGGGCTGCCTCCCTCAGCTCTCAAAGCTCCACCTCCCCCTAAACATCTGTGGAGAAAAGCACATGGTTGGGAGTAAGGTCTGGCTTTAATCCCAATTCATTCCATTTTTTAGCTGTGTGACCTCAGGTAAGATATTTCAAGTTTCTGAACTTTCAGTTTCTTGTCTCAAAGGTACAGATAATAACCATCTTGACTTCACAAAGTTATTTCCAGATTAAATGATGCAATACACATGAAGAGCTTAACATAATGTCCACTACATAGTAGATGCTCAGTGCATATCCTGGTGACCTTACCCTGTGTTTGGTGATGCTAATAAGATTTATGAAAGTTTTATTTTATAAACTAATAATCATGGAAATTGAGGTCTGCTCCAAAGTACCATTTAGAGCATAGACAGACACACAGCTCTGGGCCTGGGATCAAAGACAGAAAAATGTATTCATCAGAAAGGTGCTCAATTCTGCAGATTTTCTCCTAGGGACCAAGATGGCAGAGAAGGCTTTGATCCATATTCAGAAGTGACATAGGAAGGTCACCCTTAACAGTTCTTGGCACTGATAGGACAATCTGGCCCAATGTCAGCTTCAAACCTTGGGTGTCCAAATCCCTGTGACTCATTCAATGGCTGTGCTTCAACCCATAGAGCTAAATGTTCCTTTGATTTCTCTTCCCTACTTGACTGTTTTTTTTTCACCTGCCTCTAATAGAGAAAGGGAGAAATAAACTCTATGTATCAGGGAACACTCAACCTCAAAAACCCAAGGATTAGTTTCATGACTTGTTCCTATTATCTAGCCTGGAACTCAGGAGAAAGAGTCTACATTCAGCTCCTGGAACCTTAAGGAAATGAAAGGATGAATGTAATCTAAGAAACCACAAGAAGAATCAGGAGGATTAACTAACACTGCCATTGAACAACTGCCAAAAATATTTCAGGCAACTGGCATCACACCTTGAGGGGTTTTGTAGCACAGTGAAAAGCGACAGAGGATCTCAGTTTAAACCCCAACTTGGCTACTTACTTTCTATGTGACCTTGGGTGAGTCACTTAACCTCTTTAAACTTCCCTTGGCACTGTGCTGCCCCATCAGAGACTGTCACATCCCACTTAATTGTCGTGACTCATGTGTCTTCTCCATCATGTCACCTGTAAGGGCAGCAGCCATGTCAGTCTGTCCTCTGCAATCCCCAGCATACAGTAAGTTCACCATACCCATAAACAGACTCTGACTCCTATTTCACCTTGCTGCCACCTCTGCTGCTGGGACAGGCACTGTCTTTCCCAATTTGGGTTTCATAAGCAATACTCAATTTAGTCCCAACAACTTAGGAGAGAACGTTTTCTTCTGCAGCCTGCTAGTCTCACCTAGGAATGAACTTCTAGGCTGCATCTGTTGTAAGTTGTAGTCAAGCCTTAACTAAAGGAGGCAGGGGTGAGAGAATGAATTCAAATGAGTGCAGGAGCCATACACTTGCTGTTCCCAGAAGAACTGGAGTGACACCTGCTAGGATGCAGATGTCAGGAAGCACAACACACTTTATGACCTCAGCCCTACGTAGCAGAGAAAAAGGAGGTGTGAAAGAAGAAATAGCTTATCTTTGTGCACAAGATTTCTAGAGTTAAAAAAAAAAAAACCTACCCCAGGTTTCCATCTCTAGAGGAATCTGCAATCTGGACAGAGACAGGTAAAGCAAGTGTTTATCGTACATTATGATGACTACCTGGTGTCACAGAAGCACCTGACCCTGACCCCAGACTGGAGGATCCCAGTGTAAATGGAAGACTCATTCCCCCAGCACATCTTCTTGCTTCACACCCACCCCCACTTCATCTACCTTCCTTTATTTACACAAAACATTCGTAAAGCCCCTGCCCATCTTGCCCACCTGAATTACTTTCTGTTAACCTCCTAAGTCACATTCTATGATGTGGACAGCCCAGTCATGTGTCTCTCCCCCTACTGCCATGCTTTTGCCCCTGCTGTTCCTTCTGCCTGGAATGTCCTGTTTCCAAGCTGCTTCCCACTGAAGCCTTATGTTTCAAAGCC